AGTCATTGAACAAGGCTGTCATTAGCTGGAAAGAGGGCTCCCTATTCACAAACCATTGCAGTTGGACGGACTGCTGCCTGTGTGCCAGTGCCTTCATCGCCGGCTGGATCACGTTTCTCCTGTGGTCAGCACTGATCGTGGTGTATAAACACCAGCAGGTTTCTACCTCATGGCTGTGGCCAGCTCTATGCTGCCACCTCTTATCTGGGCCCACTGCTGTTAGAAATGGGTGAAGGATCACATTAAAATGGACAGAGGTCTTATCTCTGCCACACGATCTAGAATGAAGCTTTCAGTTTCCATAGACAATACCAATTTGTGACAATTCATTTTAGAGTATCATTGCAGTGACGGGAACAGCGTCAAAGCAAATGAGTGCTTTTTTATCACATTATCCTCTGGTCTTCCTCCTGAGGTCCTTATTAGGTTTTGCTACTTGTTCTCAGGTGTTTCACTAATCATGCTGTAATGTTTTCCAATCCTGGCTACTTATAAAGGCCAGGATTTGGCAAAGCAGTACTGAGGAACAGCTTGTATATGCACTGATACCCGGTACAGTTAATTGCTGCTGAGTATGACATGAAGAGCTGACACTTTCTAAGTAGGAGGGATAGTTTCTGTTCTCATTCACCAAAACATGGAGCTGGAGCAGCCCAGATAAAGTCTGGACAGGCTGAGATACTTCTGATTTTAAAAGGCAGCTGGACTCTGAACATATGTCTTCTGATTAGCTACAGAAATGGTATGTTTCAACACCTAATCCTTTCCTCTCCTACAGAAAATGAGAGAAATTGCATCAAAGCATTTGGATCAGATGCTTTCCTATCAGACTAGACAAAAAAACTACTGCAGCTTAAAAAAGCTCTACAAATAAAATATTGCACACAGAGGGACCTTCATCCTCTTCCTGTGAATTGCTGAGACAGTCATATCTTCTTGCCTATTCTTGAAACAAAGACTGCACCTCTTTTTCTGATTCAAACCTCATTAAAAGGCTCTTTAATCTTGAAGCAAATAGACAATATTCTCCTTTGTAACAGTAGTTATTTCCAGGGAATGTAATTCAAAGAGTTTTTCCCAACTCACAGATAAATTAATTTTAGTGATGCTTGACAGCAATTCCATTTTTCCAGGAAGAACAGTCTTACTGCAAATTGAGACTGAAGAAGTCCATTATTCATTTGGAAGATGTTTCTAGAATGTCTTTAGGCTCTCCTGGGTAGTGACAGTCTCATGGAGAAATAAAATGCTCTTGCTTTGCTGTAGATTTATTAGTACCAATATTTGCTGCAACTTCTCTCCTTCCAGAATTGTTTTGTCATAGTCTGTGTTAGAGAAATGGTACTTGTTTTGTGGCCTCTCAATGTGCTATTGATAAAGTCAGCTTGAAGAAGATAATCCTCACTGAAGTATTAAGTGTTATTTGCCCATTTATTACAATGAGTAAACCGAGTCAGAGAGACTCGTAATTTTCCTAAAGCCACACGGCAACCTAGTGTTGTAATTAAGTTGGATTCGGCAGCACATCCTAATCGGTTTCCATGGTGCCTGAGGCCCAAGAAGCCAATAATTCAGCCATGATCAGTACAGAAATGAGCTAAGTCTAAGTCATGAGAAATTTCATGTGCCAGCGAGAGAGACTGAAAATGCCTTGCTCTCATTTTCACATTTATCTTCATTAATTTTTTACAAGAACATTCGAAATAATCTGAATCATTGCAGTAGAAGTGATGGGACTGTTTTACACCATGTTCAACTGACAAAACACTTCAGAAAAACAGATGCTGCTTTGCTTCTTGCTATGCTTAGCTGCAAAGGACTTAATATAGTGATAGAGGGATGAAGAGTTCATATGTAAAGAAGTAACTGATGCTAGTGACGTATCTATAAAATAGCCAGTTCTTCAGGGACACAGGAAAAGTATCTGTGATCTTAGAAATATCAAAATGGCATCTTCCAGCTCCTCTGGGATAACGTGGTAAACACAGATGGACAGAACACAGGCAGTGCTGCAGAAGGGTGGCAGTGGATTAGTGCTAATGCTGCATGGCTCACATCCGTGAAGGGCTGCGGACCGCATGGTGCCAAAATAAAACCTGCAGGAGCTTCCCTCGGCGCTTTCCCAATTCTTCCCTGAGCCATTTGGAGGCTCGGGATTTCAAATGGAGAAGGACAGGCTGCTTGGCAGGCGCAGCGTAGATGGAGCAGAAGCCCTCTGCCAGGTCTTGGGTGAGGGCTTCACGTGCTGCCTGCACTGCTGTGTTGGGGGAATGAGCACACAGTGAGGCAAGGGGCTGGCCAGGACTTTCTGTTGTTCCTTGGAAGTGTTTCTCTTCTCATTCAACCAAGGAAAATGATGTCCCTATTTCCTTCTATTTGCACAAATTTACCACTCAGAGCTGCTTCTCCTCTCTTGGGAATGCTGGGGACAGAGCCTCAGGACATACAGCTTTATCTTATGTTTGTGTAACAAACTTCTCTGTGGTGTTGGACAAAAGCATAATTCCCATGTGCCTTAATTCTTCCTGCAGTCAGATGGCAATATGTCCTACCTGACAAAATACCGAAGATCTCAGGCTGTTTGGAGGACCGAACTGCGTTACATGAAAGGGAGAGCCCACCATCATGAGTGGACAAACCAGATCAAATGAGCTCTGTAGTAAAGTTCACTACAGGCTGGTTTGGGTTTTTTAATGCCTTGATTAGGCTTAATGGAGGTAGCACCAATGTCAAGATAAGCACTCCAGAGGCAAATTCAGATTGTTGCTGTTATTTATACTGTACTTCAAGCATGATTGGAACTTGAACTGCCAGAGAACCAGCACAATCCTCGTCACCTCCAGGATGGGCACATTGTTGGAAATGGGCACACTGGTCAAGAGCTGAGCATGTGATTTTCCTTAGAGTTCATTCCCTTATAATGCACAAAGACAGGTAGTCTTGGTTCAGGGAACACCTTGGTTCTTTTGAAAAGAAAAGGTAGGGAACATTTCCCTTGTTGAGAACCGAATAAGTCTTTCAATAACTTTAACATAAGAACACGAGAAATGCCATAATAGGTCTCTGATGCATTTACTGCAGCATTCTGTCTTTCATGGGGCAGCAGCAAATCTTTACTATCTGGGGAGAGTACACAAGCCTGGACACGATTCCTCTCCAGTTCTCCTAGCACCCACAGTCATCCAACTGGAGAAGCTCATGTCTGCCTCTTGCCTTTCATATTTCTAATTTAGATCCATTGTATGTGAATTTATCTAATGGCTTTTATATTATCTGACTTCACAACTTCCTGTGGCAAAAGCATCCCAGGAGCTCATGCTTCAGAAGAAGTGTTTTCTTTTATCTTCATTACACTAATGTTCTAACATCAGTAAGTGTCTCTCTGGTGATAAGGGATTCAGTGTGTGAAATTCTGCATTCACCACCTCCATGATTCTGTAAACCTCAGTCATATCACCCCCATCCATTTTCTTTTCTCTAGACAGAAGAATCCTAGTCTTTATAGTGTATTCTTCCAAAGTAGTTGCTCCCTCTCCTTGAACATTCCTTTTGTACACCTTTTCATCCTGAGGCAAGTCAGGTACCAATCATGGTCAGGTATCTGCCAAGTACAATGTTAGGCTTCTCAAAGTCTGTTCTTAATTCTAATGTAATAGTGTATCTTGTGAGAACAACAAAGTCCGAAGCTAGATGGAAAAACAACAGCTGATGCTCTCATGCACAGTATATGGCTGAAGCATCAAGATGCTTCATTTTGTCAACACGGTCATCTGAGTGTCCCCCATTCCAGTACATCACACCAGGTATGTGAAGTCTGAAAAGGGTTGGAGGCTGTTGCAAATTTGATGGAGAACGGAATGACTTCTGAGTATTGTCAGCCGGATAAATTGGCAGTGGTAGGATAGTGATCAGTACTCATACACAGAAGCTTCAGCTGCTAGGAACCAGTGTCACAGACTGGCATCTGCTCTCTTTGTTTAGAAACTTAGAACTAAATTTACCATTGTAATTCCTCTAAAGTACAACGTAAATAACAGCAATAACAAGGCACAAGCCCTGGCAACTGTGACTGAATTAATGTATCTCCTGAGATATTTTCCTCAGCTTGATTGCAGTCATGTATCAGCTTTCCAGTAGATGAGCTGGCAGAGGGCCACTGCTAACGGGACCTTCAGGAGGAAGAGTAGAGAGATCTCTTGAACTTCTTGTGATTGCACAGATCCCTTGAGTATTGAGGCTTTCAGGTGTCTTTATTCCACCCTACTGTGTGAGTAACTGAAAAGCAAGAGCAAACTCTGTGATGGATTTGCCAACTTTACAAATAGCCTGTTGTAATCAGCAGAATATAATGACCAGAGAAATCTGCCAATGCCTTGAAGAGCCAATAAACAGTCAGTTGGTAACAGTGGAGTTCATTTGGAACGGATGTTTATTTCAGGGCAATCTTTAAGAAGGGAACTGATGCAGTGATAATATCTGAAACAGGATTTGGTGTGTTCTGTACAGAAATTCAAACTCAGCTTCCATGATAAACACGGATTTTCCCCTTCAGGTTTTGACAACATGTAGCAATGAGCACGGTGTACTGTTGCAGTGTTTTAAGTGAGCACTGGGTAAATATGGTTTAAAGAGTGCTATGTGGTCCTGTGCTGACTGTGTGGCCTTCTGCTTAGCTGTGGTCATGATTAATTTTTTTCATTGTAACTAGCATTAGAGATGATAATGTATTAAAGTTGTGACAAAACCAGCTGTTTCCTTAAACCAGGCAAATGAAAGAGTTAACTAAAATCTTGAAGCTGAACAGATACCAAGATACCCACCAGACCCGTTGCCCAATTTCTCACTTAAATTGTGAACCATCAGTAGAGAACATTAGGTGATGTGACTTGAAGACCACAGACCTCTTGAAAATGGTGCCGTGCATAAGGTGAAGGAGCAAAAGACATTGATTGAGATGGCGTGTCTTATTAACCTTGTTTCTTCTGAATTTTCCCAAATAGGGTCGTGACTGCAGCGTGCCCATTAATTCTTGTGTCCAAAATCCATGTCAGAATGGAGGGACCTGCCACCTCACCGAGGCAAATAAAGATGGATTCAGGTAGTAACACAAAATTCATTTAAAATGAGCTATTAAATGTGTTTTTACTTTGTATTAATGAACTATAATGGCCACTTTATAAAAGCTACAGTGTGTGACACTTCTATTTGCCATAAAAAGTAATTAATATGGTTTCATTGGTGTGACATATCACTACCTCTTAAACAGGCCTCCTTATTTTCTCACAGAATATACTCTTAAGAGCTATTTTGAGCAGTCTCCCTGTTCTGCATTGTGTTATCTCTATGCTAATTTTCCTTGGGGCATTTCAAACTCACATACCCTTTTTTTATATTTGTAAAGTAAGCATCTGTTGCTCAACAACCAGATGCAAAATGTTTTCATATTGAAGAATCTTGTAGACAAACAAGCTTAGGAGAAACAATTAGAAAATGTGGAGAGATCCCCCCATCTGTGCCTGCCAGAGAATAACCTTTGCAGCTGGACAAGACAGATTTCAGTTTTCTCATGTAAGAATGATATAGAATAGGTGGGGATACTCCAAGAAAAGTCTAGAAATTTTCATGAAGGAACTGAAAGATTTGTGCCGCTACAAGGCACTTCTTGACAGCTGAGAAAATACAAGTTTGAGGCTTCAGCCACTCTTTGTTATTAAAGTTGATAGAATTTTTATTTTTAGAAGAGAGTTGCTGAAATTTTCATAGATTTAGTCCTCACTATTTATGCTTTCTTTTCACCAAATATGTGCGAAAGTACACCACACTTTTCTTTCAATGGCATATACAAAAGCTTCACTTCTACAAATTTATACATTACTGAGGCTGCTGTTTTGTCTTCTCCTATGTGTAGCTGCCTACCCATGGCAGCTGGAGGGAGACATGAAAATGCAAGATTTATAAATGGTATGAGCAGGGAGTCAAACCAGTGCATTTTGATTCCAGTTTGGTTTCAGCTGTGATTAAGACTGTTCCAACCGAGGTTAACTGTTTGTTAACCAAGTCAGCAAACCCATATCATCTGTCAGAAAACACAATTGGCTCAAAATAGGGCCCATGAAGGGCAGTTTAGACCTCAGCTTGAGCACTCATGACAAGGCGCTGAGCACAGCAGAAGAGCACATCTCTTGGGCAGAGGTCTGTAGGATCATACCAGGGCATGGTGGTGGGAGAGGATAAGGAGGCTCTGTAGATCAGTTATGCAAATGGTCACACTACTTCACAGACCCTCTAGGTTTGGAGAAACCACTACTCTGATCTGATATACCTCTTCTTGATTCAGATTTAAGCAGGCCAAGCAATTTTGGGAGTAAAAGTTTTGGTTTGGTTTCTGCCTGAGAAGAATAAAGGTCTTGTGGTCTTCAGTTTGGGTTCCCTTCTGGTCACCTTCATGTAACAGTGTGTAGATAGCTTTTTCCAGCTTATGCCAAAGCAGAATTATACCATAATAGAATATCTGTTTTCTGTCACTCAGTACTCATTTCTCCAAAATCTAGCTGATACTAAAAGTATGCTAGTAAAACATTTTATAACATCCATAATACTAGAATAAAGGCTTCAGCGTGGAGTTTGGATCAGGCTTTTCTTCAGCACTTTTGTTCTGTTCTGTGGTAGAAAGTAAAAAGTTTGGAATGACCTGAAATAAAAGCTACTTCTGATATTTTCTCATGAAGAATTTTACAGTTTCAGAGGCTTTGCTTCCGTTCCAAATTCGTGTAGTTTTTGAGATCCTTTATAAAACTGCAGGGGTGGTTTTGTTGCTTAACAACATTTGAGGCTTTTTAGGGGAGGTTTCTGCTTTTATAGTTATTTATATAGTTTCGGTTGGTCTAATAAAAGACACATAAAACCATATCTCATCAAAATCTTGCTTCATAAAATTGAATGTTCAGCTTATGCGTTGCTCTGTTTTCTCTCCATGTTTCTAATTCAGTCAGTCCATAGCCCCAGCTGCTCTGGAGAAGAGGAACGTGGAGCTTTAGCATGTCATAGAGTTATGTGGTGTGGGATGGAACAGTCAGTGACAGGGAAGATAAAGAAATACTTTGTGATTCAGTTTGGTTGATAGATTGGGCTGGGGTTTTTTGGTGGGAAATGTCCTCTCCAGTGGATGGCAGCAGTCAGAGTTACGTGCATATAGACTGTGTTCATCACGGTGGGAAAACGTTGCCTTAGATTATATGCCGTGAGGAAGCGGATGTCAAAAACATTTTCATGAGGGGCCTCCTTGGATTTTTCTGTTGTGTGGCCTGTAAAAGAAATTATATCTTCTGTATATTCTCTTCCCTAGGGAAATATATTCAGATACAAGCTCTGCTGCCAAACTTGTCAAATCTTTACTCTTGTAAGAAGGAAACTTAAGCCAAAACTCTCTCCCTATGAAATGCCAAGCTGTTTAACTCTCAAGTTTCTGTAGCCTTAGACAAGAAAATTACCTTTTCAATAATGCTAAGGTGGTGATGTTCCCCAGGCAAAGACAGGAAATTCCTAGCGGTGACTGGGAGTCCAGCCTGACTTGCCTACTGTGCCTGGTACCCACCAGGGCTGGCAGCAGCAGGGGACTGGGACGCTCAGATTTGGTGTAATAGCAGGTCCTGGTGGGACAGCTGAAGAGCAGAGGTTCAGCTTGAGTTCTTGAGTCCTCCTCATAGTCTTTTACTCTTGCACGTTCTCAATTCTGACTAATTCTCACATTCTCTTTTCTTGGGTAAGGGTGACTTCTGCATTAAAGAACGGTCAAGTGCCACTGTGGCTTGGCTCTTCCTCCCTTTGAACTGCTCTTTCTAATCTAATCTGATCTATGTTTTCTTTGAGAAGAGGTTGCCAAGAATGGTGCTTATTGAGACTGATTAAAAAAGATGGACAATCAGACAGTCATTTAGTATGCCTGTAAGTAAGTCTTTGACAAGGGAGGCAGAGCTATCAGCTCTGCTTCAGTTAGCCACAGGCAACCAGCTTATCTTTGATAACCTGCGGTGTTGGGAAGCCAAGTCTCTGGGTGATTTTAACTTTTCTCCATCTAAAATCTCCTCCCTTTTCCAGAGCATTTTCTTTAGCATTTGCCACAAACTCTAGGTTCCCTCATAAATGTAAAATCCTGGAACTGATTAACTCCCTGGTGTTAATTCAGCCTTGTTCAAGGAAATACACTGCACTTCCAGTCTTAGAGGCTACTCCATTGGGATGTAGATGTCAAAAGCTCCTTTACCAAGTAACTGTAATACTCCTGAAATAATTTACTATCTCTTTTTAAAGTTGATCTTTTTTGAAAGGTGATACTTGCCTATTTTAATACAATGCCTATTTTAATAAGAAGATGCTAAATTGTTTCATTAGATTTTGTGGGGAAAAAAGTTAATACAGTAAACTACCAACATTGTCAGTATGCTTCAGCTCTAAAAGTTTACCCCAAAAATGTTGCCCTGAAGTTCTGTGTTCCTTTTTGCTTTCATGAGGATAATGGGGGTTTATTCGGTTTTAGTTTATTCATTTGTAGGAAAATACAACACTAACAGAAATTCCCTAAACTAGAGGAATAGGGAATTTGGACTTTAATGCAGTCACAGTGTCTTAGAAAATAACTCTTCCCTGCGTGGCTCCATTGTTCCCGAGGTCCAGATGAAATGCTGTCTCACACTGCTTCACTATTTAGTCAGGATAAAGTTTTCATCGTTGCCTCTGGAATTCATTTTCTCTCTGGGTCAGCTGGAGCCTGGGTTGATGACCTTCCACTCACTCGGCAAACTTCATTTTTCTTCTTAGTTTTTTTCTGAGAAAATCCAAACTGCAACTCTTTCAACATCTGCTTCAATGCGGGTCCCAAGTTGTGTGTTTTATCTTTAATTTCAGTCCTTAGATTTGGCACATTTGAATGCAAATCAAAATAAAGAATCATATGTAAGCATGTAAAGACTCCCTGTAATACACAGGGACCAGTAGCCAAATGTCATCAATTATGCTGACATTTCCTTCAGTGTGGAATGTGTCCTAATACTGAGCAATTGTATGTTAACAATCCCATATGTATTGTTACTAATGGTAACTCTACTGAGTTGAACAATTACTGTGAGAGTATTTAATAATGTCATTTTTAATTGCATACATCCAAGCTGTCCCAGTCCTTTTGTGGAAGGAAAATGGTGTTATATTCACATAAAAATAACCAGCACAAAGCCACTCTTGTTGCTTTTCTTAAAATGGAGAGAAGAATTTGTGCTCCCAAACTGGGCCCTTGGATGCCAAGTTACAGCCTGGAGCATATTTTTATGGCTGAGTTAGAAACCCCTGAAAATGGGGTTTTGTAATCGAAAAGGGAGACATGATGAATGTGTCACTGTATTTAATTACATGTCTTTAACCCCCTCCCTAACAGTTGTATTGACAAAGAAGATGGTGTACCAGCTCTTCTTCCTTATCTGCCTCCTGTGATCCTCTGGATCATTGCAGGGTCAGCAAGAGGGCGTGTTTTGTTAGCAATAATGAGCTTGAGACAGGAAAAGCAAATATTCTTTATTGATTTATTGTGTCCTAAATTGGATTTATTTGAGCAGTTTGGTTTTGGTTATTCATAGTGAAGGTTTTCTGACTCTCATGACCTGGGAATGGTCCCTGCAGAACTGAATGAAGATGACTATTAGCATGTGACCTATATGCCTGTTCTGTACCCATGTACAAGATCTTACTGTTGTGGTGGCTGAAGACACATTTCCTGCCCTTTTTTCCTCCTCTTTGTTATTCCTTTAGTTTCTGAGGTTGCACATATCGTAAAGAATCAAACCTTATCCTCAGGGTCCAACCTAGGACCTACTGAACGCAGATGCAGAGCCCTGTCCATCCCTCCCTTGGGAGTCCCTGCACTCTGCTCCATCTGTGGCACACAGGAGGAAGAGAAGCAAATGTCATGCTGAGAGCAATCATTCACAGATCTGAAAACCTCCTATTTATTCAGGGCATTCCAACTCCATGACACCTATCCCAGAAAGAGGGATAACCACCTTAGGTCCACCTTGTCCATCTGAGTTGAACACAAAGTACCCTGCAGCTATCTCTGCATGGGAAATGCCCCTGGTTTCAGAAAGCAGTGGATGGCAGTTAGTGTGACCACGCTGGTGCTTTCTGGTTTTCATCCTCATCAATCAGTAGTGCTTTACATTTGTTCAGTTCCTTTTCTGCCACCAGAACTTACATGGGAAAGGAAATGAAAAGCTGAGTGAATGTGTGGTTTGGGCTGAGACTCAAAATGACCCTTCCCTTCCACACATTCCCGCCCCCCCCCCCCCCCCCCTCCCCCCCTTCTGTGACTAGTGAACACCAATACTGGCAATCCCAAACTTCAAATGTCATTGCCGGCTTCTTAGAAGCCACTGAAATACCTGGAGCACTTAACATGTGTTTTTAAACTGTGGCCTCCACCTCTTCACCACTTACAGCTAGTTTAAAATATAAAGGTTCTCTTAGCAACCAGAACTTTTAGATCTAGAGATGAAACGGAGATTGAAAAAAATGTCATTCCTCAACCACTTAGTTTCTTACACTCCCTCTAGGGACCATGCATCACAGACTTGTGAGAGAAAATATTTGGTGTCATTACTCTTCAGTAGTGTCCACATCCTCACAGAACCGTTGTTTGTTTGTGTTTTAGTTGAATTACCTAGACATCATCAGCTCTTCTGCAAAACGATGTTAGAGGAGCTGCAGAAGTACTGAAACCTTATTGCGCTTGTAAAAGCAATCATTCCCAACCATTTCTTGTTTGGACAAGTGACAAAGTGGTAATGAGAAGAAAATGTTATGTCTGTAAACTCAATTCGAGCCGTTGTTCTTCAAAGAGAGTGAGCTATCTAAAAGCTGTCAAGTTGCCCTGTGATTGTGCAGTCCTTGCTAGGCAAGAATCCCCACACTCCCAAAATCACTAACAGAGAAGGCAAAGATTTGAACATTGTGGTGTTTACTCTCCTACCCTGGAGCTGGTTACTTCAACTCAGAGCTAGCGTTATCAACAGAGTCTGCAAAGGGAAGCATGACAGAGGCTGTCTCCTGCTGCTGCTTTTATGTCTCATGTAAATGATTGCATGACCCCATGAACCCTCAGGCTGCATCCTTCACAAAATGCATTGGGTTAAAGTGCTCTGTACTGCACAGCAGCAGTGAATTTGGCTCCAGCAACTCACTACTATATGTTTTAATTTCAGTTATATACCTCAAACCTCCTGCCCCTTCCAAGCCATGCTAACTTAGATTATCTTCTTTCTTTCTCCAAAGCTGTTCTTGTCTCCTTGGGTATGAGGGGGAGAGGTGTGAAATAAACCCAGATGACTGCGAGGATAATGACTGTGAGAATAACTCTACATGTGTGGATGGGATCAACAACTATGTCTGTATCTGCCCTCCTAACTACACAGGTAAGAGGGAGCCACAACCAAAAAAAGAACAGGAATCCGTGAGGAGTCCCTTCAGTGCCTGAAGGGAAGGGACCAAACTCACATTTACTTTGTCCAAGAGTGCATAATTAACCAGGAATCTAGTCCCATTTTAAAGCAACCTGAATGCCTTACTGGAAGGATTTTAGTTTACCAATATTGCAGTACACATGCTCACAAACATGGCCACTTAGCTCTGAGTCAAAATACCAATTCCTCACCGTAAAAGGTAGTAAAAAATAATGAAGTTGAAGGTATCAGAGGTATCTGTACTTCTGCACACACAGTCTCTAAATGTGTTTCAGAAATATTCCCAGTACTGAGCAGAGTCTGATATATATGATGTGTTCTGAATCTTGGAAAATAGAGATAGTTCCTGTTGAAATTACGGTAGGAGAAGAGGGGCATGGCTTTTACCTGAGACCTCAAGACGCATTCCCTACCCTTTTTTTCTTCCTCTTTATTTAGTTATTAAGTAAAATGAGCTGACAGTGTGCTGTTTGAGTTCATTATGTCCATTTCACAAGTGGAAGAGCAAAGGCTGTGTAAGAAACTGTGAGCTCAGTTGTAGCTCAGCAGATGTCCACAGTGACAGAAGTTGGTAACTGAGTTGGAAATGGAACCTGTAGCTCCAGAGCCCATCCTGCATTTCAGATAAATTCCTTCCTAAACCTTCTGCTAGAGCAGAAACCCTCTTAAGTGGAATCTAAAATGCTTTTTCTCAAGTCATCACTGGAGCACACCATTGACTCATTCAAACCATGTTAGCACGGCCTTCCTGGCTCACCATGGAGTGGTAAGGAAACACCTGCAATAGTTCCTACTTCCAGTCTTTGAAATGAGTTTATTACCTTCTAAGCATGGAGAAGTAATGAAGGGCTTCTTGTACACTGGAATATATTACATGTCAGGGGATTTAATGAGAATCAAGCTTGAGTGGCTGAGTAAGGCAGGAGGAAAGCTTCTAGAATTTCCAAACTCTTAAAATACTTCTGTGGCTGATACAAAGGGGGCCCATGTAAATCTTGAGCTGAGAAAAGCCTTATGACTTGAATGTACATTTATTGGAGTTCTCAAATGATATTTCTGCCAAAAAAAAACTGAAAAACTTCAGCTTAGCAGAGTAGAGGGTTTTGCTCATAGGATGTCAAGCCCATTGTGCTTACTTGTGCACTGTTTATACGAGCTGCTCCTGGGTGGTTTCAAGTCAAACTCTACACAAGGAGGAGGAGTCTTTATATTTACAAAAGGAAATATATTTGCCCTGAATTTGCCAAGACACATCTAGTAAGGAACTGAATGCAGTACATATGCAAATGCACTTTCCTTTTAGCATGTTGCAGGGTGGGGTTTTTTTTTCACAGACGAAAAAGGTAGGAAAGAACTAGATAGAGATTTCTTCTCAAGTGGAGGTGTGGGCAGGGACCAGAGGACTCATATGATAATCCACAATCAGGTTTGAAATCTGTTTTAACCAACTTCCAGCTCTTTTTATTTTTCCCTGAATATTGCCTGTGCTGTGCTTACGCTTATTAGCAGGAGTTTGTCAAATACTAAATCTCAGTCTTGTAAGTGGGATGCACACAATTGGATATAGCATGCAATAAGCATTTTTTATCACAATGCAGGCAATGGCTCAGACTACAGTTGAAACAAACTGAATTGTTGAAGAAGAGCAGGAATTACTTCTGGAAAACATAATATGAATCATAAGTGAAAACCTGAAGGGTTACAATAGTTTATGTTGCTTAAAAATAGGAAGAGTTTGGTGATGAAAGGATTGCCTTAACCTGTTTTACCTCCATTTTGGAGAGGGATATTTCATCCCACCTGATCAGTCACTGGGAAGGACTCAGCTGGCTGTGATGAAATACCCATCAGAGGTGCACCTGAACCTCTCTGAGCAGAAAGGCAGGGAACAGCATGAAATGGCCGGAAGAATATAAAACATCAGCCAAACATAAGTTACATACCAGCCAAGTCAATCTGAGCCATGGTTTTGAGGGTCTTCTAAGAGTTGAATCCAAACACAAGAAATTGGCCATTATCTGAAATGACTTGATTGAATGAACAGCAGCTTAAGCAAATTCCTTGGCAGTACATAAACAAGTCGTGAAGAAACACTTTGAAAGGATTTGTGTACATGACCTGAAAAGAGAAGGATCTTTGACCAAAGAGTTTGCCTGTAGTCTCCTGTGACATTCAGGGCATCTCTGTATATACTCTCTTTAAACCTTTTTATACTGAAGGAATACACGCAGCTACTATGGCAGTATCTCTTAAAAAAAACAGGGTAAGTGCAGATGACTTTAACATTGTGTTGAATATGTGAAGAACATTGAATGCTAACATTTCAGAGAGAAAGCAGGTCACTGGAGGGGTCAGGAATACTTATTCCTGTGCTCAGAAAGGTGCAGGAGGTACCTGCCACCCTCTCAGGAGCTGACTGTGCTAAACATCGTGTTAGCAAACTGTGTGCTTCAGAGCTGCCAAGTGTATGGATTTTATCTATATTTAGATGAACAAAGAATGGCTGATGGAGGTATCTACAGGGAAGTAGTTTTTCTATGAAGTAATCTGGGGGACAATGAGCACCCGGTGTGACACTTTGCCTAAAAGGGCAGTGATATCCATAGGCAGGGTGTATCAAGTAAGACAGAAAATATAGGCAGTATCCCTTTATGTTGTGCCCAAATACTATATTCTCTTCTGGTGTTCAGAATTCAAGAAGTGGGTTGAGAGATGGGAAAGAGGATTAGAGGTGAAAGATAAAAAAACATTGGGGGATTAAAAATAGGTCCTGGAAAACCTCCAGAAAAAACTTACTTGGCTTAACAAAGCGTAGGCAGTCAGAGCAAACACGTGGATGGAGAACAGAAGTTTCTTTAGAAGGTTCTTTGGTGAGCATGACGTTCATGGCTGAACAGATCCAGAGCATCCATGTCTACCAGTGTAATTGTACAAGAGTTGTTGGCACTAAATACAAACTGGATTTCTCAGCAGATGCTGTAGTTAAAACACAAGTTAGTTCAAGAATGGCCTACGTTACACCGGAGATCAGACTAGATGGTTCTTTACTGATGGTCTGTGATGTTTTGAGTAACATTCAGGCTGTTGGTTAGAAATGTCCAGCTCAGCTATTGCAGATTGCTTCTTTTCTTGACTGTAGGGGCAGGCAGGCTCTGGGAGTACTGTGAAGTAGGTAGTGTGAATCCCTCATCACTCTTACAGTCTTGGAGTAAGACTGCAATGATATTACTGTAAACACTGCATGTATGGAATTAATGTATGTTTTCATACAAAGAATACTCTGAATACAAGGAGGAAGAAGATCCAAGAGCATGTATGGGTGGTGTTAAGAAATACTTAGGATTCACTTCGGTTTAGTTGGCAAATGGTTAAATGATGATAGTAAATCCTATGTTCCTAAATGAAATGCAAATTAAAAATGCATGTGTTGAAATTGCTGACTGTTAACAGAGTTGCAGTATCCAGGGTTTGGTTTTTTCCATACCTTAGTATTTTCCTGCTTTATCTCTGTCTGACGAGTTTTACTTGTTACAGCTCTTTTAGGAAACAATATCTCAAATAATGAAGTTTTGCTTTCACTGGCTGGAATAATGAAGGCCAAAGATCTTTCTTCAATTAATAACTTTTTGCAGTGTTTTCCTTTAAAGTTCTGTGACAGTCTTTTCCCCCACTCAGGGAGATGAAAAATGGCCCATTTGTGAAGTGACTGCTGAGGGAAGGAATTTCCCACACTCCAGCTCCATTTCACTTTCATTTAAAAAAAAAACCCAAAACCACCCACCCACACTCCAAACCCAGCCCGCACTCACAATAACCTCCTTCCTAGGGCCTTTCCAGCTACTCACTTAAAACAATGTGCAAACACAAACAGATTCCTTGAAACTGAGAGGGAGGATAGGCAGGGAGCTTATGGCCATAAAGGAAGATTCAGGCCCTGACCTGCACCACCAGGTTTCCTCACAATTCCTGAAGTCAGTATTTTCAATGCTTGTTGCCTGGTTTTACATGATCAGACTGATACTCGTGCTGTGTAGCAGAGTCCTGATGGCTTTTATTGCAAGCCGATGTCTTTTTCTTCCCTCTCCCCAAGTGGTTATTTTAATCCTGAAGCTAAATTATACATATATATTTCCTGCAGAATAACCGTGTACCCAAACTCCAGCCAGCTCTAAAGCCTGAGCAGCCTGGGGGCTGGTCTACAACCTGGTTGTACCCTTTGATGGATTACAGCTTCTCCTTACAGGTTTATAGGCTTTCCTCCTCTTCAAAACCAAGCATCTGTAGGAACATCAAAAGTGAAAACTATGAATTTAGATCAGTCACCCTCATTCTTTTTGTGTTTTTCTCATTTCTATCTTTTGGGCTTTAACATGGCCCATCTCCAGCTGATGATATAAACATTATGCTGTCTCCCTAACTTTGTGGTTAGAAACATAGGACAAAATCCATACAATTTTTCCTTTGCATTCCTGTTTTCTATTCACTACTGTCTTGAGAGCCACTGTTTTGCTTACAGTTCATGTAGTTTCATACCTCCAAAAAGAGATCCCCTCTTCAGTCTCACTATCCTCTGTGCTTTCACTTGAAGAGGAGTCCAAACATATGTAAAGGACCAAATGGGCTGTACCAAACATGTACTTTGAATGGGTTTATGCTTTACTTAATAGTCTGTTTTGTCTTGTTTGTTTGCTGTGGCTTTTTCTTCCTCCTATGTGTTTGATTTTAGCCAGAAGCAGACATATGTAGTGCTTACACCCAAAACAAATCAGGAAATATTCAGGGTTTGCTAAGGATCCTATAAACCCTCAGCAAACAGCCACACCTCTTTGTTCTGAAACCTAAAAAGAAACAGGCAGTGGCTTCTACTACTGAAAATAGGTCTTTTCTAAAATACATGGCATTCCACGGCAGGGAGAGCGGGAAGCAAGTGGTTGAAAATAGTTTGTGTCCCT